ATGGGTTTGAAGCCAGACTGAAACTTTTCATGGATGCCATGCGTGGTTAAGAACGACTGTGGCTGGGCGTAGACTACTCGCTCCAGGGCTTTAGATAAAAAAGGTAGCTGGGAGATGGGCCTAAAATTTGCGAGAATGGAGGGGTCGAGATTTTTCTTTTTAAGTAGTGGCTTGACCACGGCATGTTTGAAGGAAGCTGGGACACATCCTGAGCTAAGAGAGGTAAGTTATAAAATACTTGCTCCAACTGAATCGAAAACATCTCTGAGAAGGCGAGAGGGAATGCTGTCTGAGGTGCAGTTTGTCGGCCGCAGGTGCTTGACTACATCCGAGAGAGAAGAGAGGGATACAGGCTCAAAGTGGTCGAGGACAGCAGGGCACAGAAAAGGAGCAGGATCTGGGGTAGCACTAGTGTGGGCTACCCTAAGAGCAGATACTTTTTCAATAAAAAATGTAAGAAACTTATCACAGAGAGTAGTCGATGGCACAATTGAAGAAACATCACAGGGATTAATGATAGAGTTGAGGACATTAAAAATAACCTGAGGTTTATGGCTGTTTTTGGAGATTAACAGAGAAATGTGCTCTGTTTTGGCTGCTTTGACTGCCGTCTGGTAGTCAGAAAGGCAAGCACGAAGGATTTCTAGGGAGACATGGAGTTTATCCTTTTTCCATTTTCTCTCTGCACGCCTGCAAGCGCGTCTGAGAGCGCGAGTACAGTCATTGAGCCATGGCTCTGATAGAACTTTGGTGCGTCTAAGCGTAAAAGGAGCAACAGAATCCAGTATTAGGGTACATGTCGAGTCAAACATGGAGATAAGCTCATCAGCACTAAGAGCACAGTTCACCTCTAATTTACAGATCGGAGAAGCATTAAAAACATCAGAGAACTGTGAGGCAGTCAAGGGGTTAATCGAACGCAGACGACGCGCAGGGGCACGTGATTCGACTCCTGCGGAAGGGTTCGAAGTTGTAAACAGAACCGGTAAATGGTCTGAGATACGCGTTGCTGCACATATTTCATCCACAGAGACAGACAGTCCAAACGATAATACTAAATCTAAAGTGTGTCCTTTTTCATGTGTTGGGCCAGCCACGGACTGAACATTTCATTTCCTGGTTATCCCGGCCAAAACTATTTCTTTTCAGGATATTATTCCAATAATGATCAAATATTGCCTTAAAGAGAGCACTAAAACATAGTGGAATCCACTTTACCTTTTGTTAAGAAACAAATATATATTCACATCCCTTTATGTGAATATCCTTTTAGAAAAAAAATAACAATCTTAAATACTCATAAATCATTAGCTCCCCCTGCATTAATAAAGGATACATGAATTAGGGCTGCAAGATTTGGTTAAAATAACTCATTTAGATTACGATTCAGAAGGGATTCATCATTTTGCATCATTATTTTCTTTTGTATTGGAAAATATATGAAAAATGATCATGGTGTGATTGTTTAGTTAAGTCTGTAGAATACTGATTGTAGGCCGGGATATCTCTGCAGCACTTAACACTTATTGTGCCTCCTACGATTTGAATATATATCTTGTCCATTATTGTGATTTTGATCAAACTTTGATAAATGGTGCAGCCCTAACATAAATACAATTATAACATTGTTGCTATAGCTATTCTTTCTTACACATCATTTTTTTTTTTTAAAGCAGGCCCCATTTTCTACATCTCTACTATCCAATCCAATCCACTTTATTTCTATAGCACATATTAAAAACAGAGGGTTTACCAAAGTGCTTCACAGCAAACATAACATTATAATAAAATATAATATAACAATAATAGATAAAAGGCACACATAAGAAAAGATAAAAGGCACACATAAGAATGAATACAAGGTACATAAAGGCTATGGACAGACAATAAAAGCATACAAATGGATAAAACAGCTCAGACTGACTCGAAAGCAAGGGAAAAGAGGTGGGTCTTTAGGCGGGACTTAAAAGTTTGGAGGGTGGGCGACAATTTGACATGGGGGGGCAGGTCGTTCCAGAGCCTGGGGGCTATCGCTGAGAAGGCTCGGTCTCCCCTGGTCTTTTTCTTGGTTTTAGGGACTACCAGCAGCAGCTGATCAGCCGACCTCAAAGCCCTTGAGGGGGTGTACACCTTTAGGCTTTAACTATGATGCTTGACAGCCTCTGCAAGTCTTTGTGAGGGTGTTCATGATTATCCCAAATAATGGAAATGTACTAATATCATATTCACTTATTGCAAATAGAGTTAAAAAAAAATGATCACTAATGAACACCCCAAAAAATGCCAGAATGATGCATGTACATGGACTTAAACTGTTGCGTTTGATAATGTGCTCCCTGGTATGTGAGCCGCACTGTGCCAAGACTCACCTCAGGTTATGTCTACACATGATACATCTACCCAGATTCAGAGATGATTGGCAGGGAACAGCCTGAACAGGTCGCCATTTGATTACAGGGCTGACGCATACACACATTTATATCCTCATATTCACACCTACAGGCAGTTAAAGAGTCTCTGACGACCTACCCTGCATGTCTTCTGACAGAACCTTCTCTCTCGGGAGGCGGAGCTCAGTACTGCACCACCTGGCCAACATGATTTATAATTATGCCAATATTAGATTTTCAATATACATTTTCACAGTTATAATACATACATTTGAAACGTTGAGTAAATAACGTCATAAGCTTAGCATAATTGGATATTTTGGACTCATTCTAGACTCAATGTAGACATAATTCTTCATTCCCAATTATTTTATTTGTTGTGCCTCTAAAACTGTCATTTTTGGAAGCAATAACAGCCTGTGACTTTTGATTTCCATAGAACAGATGATTCTGAAGATTAATGATCAGACTTGAATTAGCAATTAGCTCTGTGGTTATTTTGCGATGATGAGATTTTCACATTTGTTCTACAACATAAAATATTCTACTTAAGTAAATACCTCACTGGTGAATGTCTGAAGCTTTACGGTGTCTTAAAAACAACGGTTGCTAACAAGTGACTGAATGAGACTACACGTCATCGCGCTTAACATTAGCCGCCTTAGCTTAGCGCTGGTGCTTTGAAGTCATTGTGACTGTCATTTAATTTTTCTACAGCATAATGTTTTCTGCATTCTACCAAAATCCAATGAAAAAATCTCATTGCTTTTTGTCGAGGAAGCCCTTGCAATGCTAACTTCCGTGTCAGCCTACGGAAACATGTGTCATCATTGCACCACTCTATTAGCCTGTAGGGACTTTATTTACAGTCTTAGCAACAGATTTATGAATACCTGATGCAACCCAGCCCCGTTCTTGGTTCTATATTGATTGAAGGTTAATAAAAGGCTGCTACACAGCTCATACAATGGAACATGTTTGGCCCAATGTTGAATATAGTGTGAACTGTTATAATGAGCCTTTGGTGGGAAAACTATGTCTCTTGTTCTTGTATCGCTGGGTTTCTTTTATTTAGTATCTAACCCCAATATATATGATTTTAGAAAGTCTGATTTTATTAAATTGACTTTTTCTGTGTTTGGTCATGATGATCTGCTCCGGCTTGCTACTAGCTAACCCTCTTGTCACTCTGTTTCTCTTCCTCTCTCTCTGTACTGACATCCTTCTCTCTTCAGGGTGTGTGTGCTTCAGCAGGCTCTGGGAGGTCAAACCAGTCAGTGTAAGCAGCATGGACAGAACCTTCCATTTCATGACACCTTGTGCCCCTTCCTTTGAGTTTCAAAGTGTTCTTTTTCCATCTTGTTTGTTGTAAAAGAGAATCAACAATCAACATTTAACTCTTCATTTTTATGCCTTACTGTTTTTATTTATTATTTTACTTACTCCTTTATTATATTATAACACTCAACTTCCTGTTTCCTTTTTCACTTGCTTTTCATGAAACGTCTTTTCATTCACTTTTCCTTCCTTGTTGTTGCCCATACCGTGAACTGTTTCCATAATGATGTCTTTGTCATTGTTGAATTTTGGTTTATGTCAAAAACATTCCTTATGATCACAACTCTTTGTGTAGCATTTTGTGTCACTATAGTCTGTTGTTAGGCTGGAAGCTGGAAGAGTGTGTGGCAGCAAGAAACTGATCAAAAAGCTACATTTTGATCAAAAAGACACAAAATGATGATCCTGCTACAGCCCTGACTAACAGAGGCTGGGTGTTAAGTTGGTCTCTTAGGGTAGAGTGTTAGACTAGTTCAAGTTTAGAATCAGTGTTTTTGATACACTGGCCATTGTGAAAGAAAAAAATTCTAAAATGTATTAAGAAAAAAAGAAATACAATTGAAAAATAGTACATTTCTTAAGAATTAAGGTAATATCACACTAATTAAATTGACAATAGACGTGTTATCAACAGTAATAATAATCTGTATGATTGGGATAATATTTTTAATACTTGATTGTAGTGAACAGGTGAGAGCGGTCTGTGAGCTTCTGTGATCAGACCAGACCTGTTTTAACTGCACAGAGGGGACTTGGTTAACTCCAGACTGCAGTTCAAAGCAAAACCACTGAACTCAGTAGACTTTATGAGTCTTTATGGGAATGCAATGAAAAGCAGAGTGAACTTAAAGGCTCTGCTGGTGTCTTTCCTTCTTTTCAAGCTAAATGTATTCCACCAATAGAATATGTATCAGGGGTTAGGGTCAGTGAGGTAGCATGCATCAGTTTGCAGCACATAAGCAGCAGAGTCAGTAGTTATGATAGCAGCCCATACATGAGTTGATGACAATGCTCATATACAGGAAAACTAACTAACAATCACACAACTTGAGATTTGTTCTGACTGCAGAAATGTTCAGGTTACCAAAAGAACCTCCAGATATTCAGGATCCACCTGTCGCTTCACTGTGTAGATATTAAGGGAGTAGTTGGTCTGTTGACACTCATTCACTTCATCAGTGTCGATCTAATCTTGTTTAACTCTGCTGTTTACACGTGATGTAATATTGACCTGTGTGTGTGTGTGTGTGTGTGTGTGTGTGTGTCTCACAGGGTCAGGGTGCCATCACAGAGAAGCTGCGCAGCCTGAGCATGCACGACCTGACCCAGATCACCCAGCAGGATGACAGAGGAGACCAGCTCTACCAGTACAGCTCCCACTCCTCCAACCCCGCCATCAGGAGGTCCCAGAGCACTGACCCTGCTGACGGACCAGGTACACACACACACACACACACACACACACACACACACACACACACACACACACACACACACACACACACACACACACACACATACACACACACACACACACACACACACACACACACACACACACACACACACACACACACACACACACACACACACACACACACACACACACACACACACTGTATAAACCCCAACATGTTTTGTTTTTTTTTAATCATAATTTTACCACAATTTTCCTAGTTTGCATTAAAGATTCAGAATGTTACATTAAGAGCAGTAAACAACGTTTTGCTATGTACAGATATTACAGAGTAATATAGTATATAACAATAGTTCTACCTGGGCAGAGAATAAACGTCCTCTATCCAGTGTGCTTTGGTTACGTAGTTGGTCCTGCCACATGTGCATGATAATGTATGTTAGTGCATGTCAGCTAATGTTTATGTACCCCACTGTATAGCTTGTGGCCCTGTCTCTGCACTGTCCTCCTACATATTCAAATTAAAAAGATAGAAAAATGTTATTGTCATTAGCACAAACGCTACAGTGTAGTTGTTGGCAATAGAAATCTAAAGTCGCTGGCTCCTCATCATACAATTGAATGTAAACATAAAAAGAAAAATACATTAAATAACCAACTGACGACATTGTTGCATTGATGTAGTGCAAATCCCAACCCCCCCAAGGCTAACACTGTTAGCTCTCTGAGCACTGCTGCTGTAGTTTGGACCTTTAGAACAAGGTCCAAACTACAGCAGCAGTGCTGCAGTTAGCTAGCAGCCAGCTCAGCTGTCACCATGTTGAGAGCCATGTGGAGTCAATCTCTCTGCTCTGAATGTCGCATAGTGAACCACTAAAGCTCGCAAACCTCTAGAACACACTGGAATCTGAACTCACAGACGTCATACACACAACCAGCAAAACATGCTTCATCCAGTGATAGGCACGTCCATAAATGCCTTTGAATATCCGTCCTTATAGTAGGCACAGAGATAGTGCTGTCAATATCACGGCTACACTGGTGTGACAAATGTGCCACATCAGCTTAATATCCCTATTCTAATGTTTCTTTGTTCGCATGCTCCTTTCCTTACTTCCTCTTGCTTGATGAGAACTGCTGTGTGTGTGTGTGTGTGTGTGTGTGTGTGTTTGGTGTTGTTGTGTGTGTGTGTGTGGTGTGTGTGTGTGTGTGGTGTTGTGTGTGTGTGTGTGTGTGTGTGTGTGATGTGTGTGTGTGTGTGTGTGTGTGTGTGTGTGGTGTGTGAGTGTGTGTGTGTGTGGTGTGTGTGTGTGTGTGTGCTGTGTGTGTGTGTTGTGTGTGTGTGTGTGTGTGTGTGTGTGTGTGTGGTGTGTGTGTGTGTGGTGTGTGTGTGTGTGTGTGTGTGTGTGTGTGTGTGTGTGTGTGTGTGTGTGTGTGTGTGTGTGTGTGTGTGTGTGTGTGTGTGTGTGTGTGTGTGTGTGTGTGTGTGTGTGGACTTCCCAGCAGACAGAGGGGATGAGATGAGTTTGAGTGGGATGCTGTTGGAATTTCAAACACACACACACTCCGTCTCTGTTCCTTCCGTCTATCTCTCTCTCGAACACACACAGGCAGCCAGTGAGGTGTGGAGAGGGGGGGGGGGCTGAGATGAATGTATAGGAGGAGAGTGGAGATGTAAGGGATGGATGGAATTGGAAGAGGAGGAGGATGGAGGCTGGCAGACAGCATTAGCATACTGAGAGAGGGAGAGTGTTCTGTATTCAGCTCAGGAGGAAGAGATGTTTCTCCCCTCTTGCTCTCTTTCATAGGGTCCTCCCTGCTGCTCACATGACATCACACTCTGCTGGCTATAGGAGGTCTTCAGCTCCTGGGTAACAATGGTTTTCCTTCTGGACCCTTTTCCCCTCACATCTGTCGGTTGGATTGTCTATTATTTAATTTCATTATCTTTTTTTGATCTATACACAGGACGTCTATTCCACATTTATTCCCCTTTATTTGTGCTAGTTTTTCCTTTTTACTGCGACAACGGCCCAAAACACTTCCATTAGGAGAAACACGATGCTAATATAAAAACACACATGTTCCACTAACAGTGACAGTTGGCCAACTATAACTCTCAAATGTCAACAAGTGCTGCGGTCCCAGCTCTGTGCGTCACTTTCTAGTGTTCCCGTTAGATCTGCACTGCACTTTTATAGTTTTGATCTTTGCATTTTGTATTTGCAGCGTTTTGTATATGCAGTGCTTTTAGTAAATGCTGCGCATGTTTCGTCAAGTTGGTGAATGTTTTCTAGATGCTGCATCATTAGCATGTGTTTTGGCACATTTGTGTTTTTGTTTGCATTGTTTTAATTTAAAAGTGCTCCGCACATTCTACTAATAGAAGTTTTGGGCCGTTGTAGTCCATTTGCACTCCGTCGTAACCGAGGGCATCGTATGCCGTAAACACTTTAAAGCCGCCTGGGACAAGTGTCTCATTTGTGCTACAGAGCTATATAAATACAAATTGATTGATTGATTGATATTCGAAAAACCTTTTAAAATGCGTGTTTTCTAAATGGAGATCGGCTAAGCTAACGCAATATATGCTCCGACCGTCCACACTCACAACAACAGCCTATACAGACATAAATAAAGCAGCGACTGTATTCACCATGACACAGGCAGTCTGTGGTTTGTACTTGTTTAACTTTTGTCTAGTTTCTGAACAGAGATGAGGAGCTGTGAGCTCTGAGTGCTAACAGCTAACGGCTGTGTTGTTTTTCTGGGGTTCTCATTGAAGATGACGTCACGGCTCCGCCTACACTGCGTTACTCTAGTTACTGCCCTCGCTACTAAACTGTAATGGAAATGCGCCATAAAGTGAGCCAGTCCTAACAAGGCCTAACGAGGCCTAGCCATACCGAGCGAGGCCGAATGAGGCCCTGTAGTGGAAATGCGCCATAAGTACCAATCGCGTTCACACCGGAGTACTTTTCCCTGAGGGAAGATTACGCAAATGAGCCGCTGACGTCACTTCGTCTTGTTCTGCTTTGGGTTTACTGGCAGGCCGCAAACCACTTCACGGCGTATACTGCCACCCGGAGTCCCCGGCCGGAAGTCCCCGGAGTTGGGGACTGGCTTCAGTAGAAGCTGCTGGGAGTCTTCCGAGTAAATTGCCAGAACGCCGACACCTCTTCATCTCCACCGCTCCCATGTTTTTTTTTGTGTTGCCATAAGTTATTCTCTCTCCGTTGGTGCGCGGGGCTAATGCTAATGCTAATAATGCTAATGCCAGCAAATACAATGGCGGCTTCAAAAAACCTTTGACGGTTCGGGACGAATACGAATACCGTTACACCCCTAACACACACACATTTTAGTTTTTTTACACTGTCCTGCTCCCTGAACTACTTAAATTCAAATAATACCATATTCTCTCTTTGAGGCAGCACAATATGAGATGAGACACATGTGGAGCAGCTGAGCACAGTGTAGAGCAACAACTTTGGAGTCTAAATATACAAGCTTCAGAGTTCAAAACAAAAAACCACAATGTCTCTTAATTCTCTTAATCAGGTTTACCTGGACTACAATTTCACTGACACTTCTTGAGAGTGCAAAGTGAAGGAGGAGTGTGTTTTGACAGTGAAAGTAAAGCTCAACAGCAGGTTAAGACATTATTCATATTCAGGACAGAGTGTTTGTTTGCTCTGGAGAGCAGCAGGATTCCAGAACCCCGTGGAACAAGCTGCTCCAGATCTCTGCTGCTGCATTGTTTAATAAAGCCCTCAGCCCTTTATGACAGGAAATTGGAGAGTTTTTACACAGAATAGACTGTTGATAGCTGGAATGGCTGGAATCTGTTCTTCACAGTCCAGACAGAGCAGTAAGATTCCACCCTGGAACATTACTGTAACATGTTGTTCCTGAGCAAGTGGCTTTCTCCTTTGAGGGTGTAGCATTAGGAGCAGATGATTATGGGCTTTTAACACTCAGTTCTTTTCTCGTGTTAAATGTGTGGTTCTTCAGTACAGTGGGTAGGACATCCAACTGTCTGGTTTCAACCTTCATTGAGCTGACACTTTTATCCAAAGAAACGTACAATAAGTGCATTCAACATAAGATACACACTCAAAGCAAGAATCCTGCAGGTACATTAGCTGTCAATCATCCATGTAAGTGCTACTGCATTGGCTTCAAATAAGCCATTTAAGACTACATGTAAATGAAGCCGATTAAAGCCTTGTTATGATTTTTTGCCAATTATTGTTTCCTGTAGTGTGTTCTATAGGTTTTTGTGCATGTAAATGGTCTGCAGAGGCTAAAATATCTGTGTTTCTCTCTCACACACTACCCCAGCAGTGAGTTCAAGATTCAAAGGTTTATTGTCATAACATACACAACTATGGTGTAGTGATGTAATTTAGGAAAAACTTAGATCGCAGGTTCTTCGAAAGTGTAGTTACAAGACATAAACCAAATATATCAGGCAGTAAGTTCCTTCACTATTAAAGTATGCACACTGGATTCTATACTAGACGGGGTTAGTTTGTGCAGCAGGACTGGACTCTTCCTGAGACTCAGAGCTGCAGCGGTGTCTCTGCCTGCTGTGGGTAACGGCTGATTCACCATCCAGCATTCAGAACCCAGAAGGTTGTTTTTGATGTTGTGCAGGAATGTGAAGTCTCATGTGAAGCCTCTTCCCACCCTGTTTCCTCTGGGAGGGGAAAGGTTGCTTCCAACTCTGGAGAGTGGGAGGTTTTCTCTTATAGACTCCAGATGTGACAACAATAGCAGCAGCAGGAGCTAGAACCAGAACACATAGAAAATACATCACTGGTAGTTTTTTCTGTGACAAAAGGGCATGAAAACTGTAACATAATGTCCGGTTTACTATACAATAAACAACATATATTGATATGCAGGCCATAATTAATGATCTGAGTCTTATCAACAGTCGAGTATCTTATGATGGACCAGAAAAAATACCTGGAAGACCTTTTAGATAAATCTGTATTCTCTCAAAAGCCTTTAAAAATACACATGACTTCTGCTGCAGTGTGTATTCCTGGCAGCAGGCTGTAACAGATAGCTGGTGTATAACCTGTCTAACTGTTGTGTTTCTATGAAGAGAGACAAAGGGAGCAAGCAGAGTAGGGAGGCAGCAGTGTGTGTGTTTCTTTGTGTGTGTGTGCTGACCTCTACTGGAGAAGCTGTGTCTCACACACAGAACTCGATCCACACAGGCCTGTAACCACAACGTGTTTTTACACCAGCAATAAGAGTTCATCCATGGAAATGTGTAAGGTGGAAATACTGCAAATATAAGTGACTCTGTATGAAATACAGTACATGTCGGATCATTGGAGAAATGGTACGAAACACCTTTACTCAAAACATGCATCTACATCTACCCCACAACATTTTCAGCTCCTTTTGTATTTAAAACTCAGTCCATCTTCGCTGTTTATGTGACTTCTCTTCTCCTCTTCCACCAATGGTTGAGCAGTTGTTATCCTTGCTGATCTTAACATAAGTTTCTGAAAAGGCTAAGTTATGCAACCAAACTGAAACATGACGTATTTTGTAAAGACACATATCTGAGTGTGTGTTTCAGTGATTCCTGATGTGTGTGTGTGTGTGTGTGTGTGCTTCTCAGACTACTACTATGCCGAGGAGGAGAGGAGTGATGACGAGGGCGGAGCCCACCTTGTCTGAGGACGAGGCGGTCACTCAGAAAGGACTGAGGCGGTCTCAGAGCGTCAAGATGACCCGCTCCAGGGTCCGCAGAGACGTGAGTTCTGTCCCATGAAGACTGTGTGTTCTGTAGCCAAACGTATCTATCAATATATGAATACATATTCTGTATGATAACAAACAGCCTAGAAACTCAGGGGTATAATTATATACATTTTCACACCTATTATTTTCATTATTCTGTCATCAGGCTCGCTATGGATCCCTGAAGATTAAAGGCAAGAAGAGACCAGCACTGAGCTCCGTTAACTATGGCTTATGAGAAGAATACCACACACATACACACACACACACACACACACACACCACACACACACACACACACACACACACACACACACACACACACACACACACACACACACACACACAGGGTCTGCTCTGACAGTCACTCTGCTGAACTTGTTTGTCTCTTTGATGAGGAGCGTTCTTCTGACATATTTATTTCTTACTCATCCAGAACCAGTGGCTCTGAGAGAACCTCCATGTTTGTGTTTGGGTGGATGGCGTACATTTATGCATCTTATTTTAGTTTATAGTTGTGATTTGATATACATGTAGTCTTTGAGCTTTTAGGATTTTTACATTTCCTTTTATCCAAGTGTTGTGCTGCCGCTTCTTAAGGCGTCCTTAAACTGTCATTCATGGCCAAGCTAATATTGAAATAATGAACTGATGATTTGAGCTATTGTATTAACCATTTCATAAAAATAACTGTAGATACCTTTTGTTCAAATATAAACATGTACACTGCTGATTCTTACACAGTCAGAACCATGAACTTTGATCCAAACTGTATTCAGTTAGAGTTTGGCCACCTGGGGTTAGCGTAACAAGCCATTCATGCACAATTGGAAAAAGGGGCAAAACACCAAATAAAAAAAAAGGCCAAAACAATTACAAAGGGCCACAAAATGATGACAAAGGGAAACATAATGACCACAAACAGACAACAAGTAGAATGAGGGGAAATAACCACAAACCAAAAAAAACAGTCTTAAACAAATAATAAAATGACCACAAAGAGACACTACACCACAGAGATGCTGAACAGCACAGATAAGAGGATGAACTACTTGTGTGTGTGTGTGTCCACTGGCTGGTGAAGAATATTAATATTGGACCACAGAGATGAACCTATCAATCCAAATAGCACTTATATTGATGGCTTATAAGTGACCTAATGAAATCTGATGTGACCCATGAAGAAAGACAGCGGTGTTCATGTCTAACCCGAGTACTACATTAGAGCAGCGTGCTCTGCTGCCTTCAGGGTATCCTCCATGAGGAACCTGTTCCCAGCTGAAGCTCTGACCCTGGTGTTGGAGTCCTTTAACCCTCACTACTCCACTGCACACACACATTCCCCATCACTGCAGAGCACCAGCAGCTGAGCATGGACATTTACACGTTGGGGGGGGGGGCAGTTGAATGAATCAGATGTGCAGTAGAAGTGGATAAAGTGAGTGAAACACCAGCAGCTGGACACTACCCCTTCTTCCTCAACACGAGTCAGGAGAGAGAAATGGAAGAGAAAACCAAACTGAGATTCTTTAAGGTTTTATAAGCAGGTTTATTGAATTAATGATCATTTCTTATTTTCCTGCATTGTACACATGTTTTTTTATGACTGTGTGTCCTGATCACTATCCTGGTTGTACATATCTAGCTGTTTCCTTGTGTTTGAAGAGTGTGTGTGTTATGTTTGGATCAAAAGGAGTCTTTTATTATAGTAACCACGTGTGTTTGCACATGTACCTCCTCTTAAACCTTTTGATCAATGCTGTTGTTGCTTGTCATCTCATTTTTGTATGTACGTTGCTGTAGGCAACCCAATGAGTTTAATGCTAATGCTAGCAGCCTCTCGTGACATGTCAGAGTTAGGCTTGTTTTGGTCCTCTGGTACTGCAGTCAGTGATAAAACGCTCGAGGGCTGTGGCTAAAGCGTATTCCTAAGAACTATACGATTGATATGCGTTAAAGAAATAATGAAAGTGTGAACATGCCGCCTAGCAACATGGCTGTGTTACACATTACACATGTTTAGTTAAAGGTTGGGGTTATTGCACTCAGCTGTGAGCGTTCACGCCGTGCAGGCATGGTGCGAAGGCCTTCCTCAGCAACACACGGCATTGCTTTGAAGCCGTGTGGGTGTGTGTTCAACACTCATCAATAGTGCTTACATCACTAACAAGCCAAACTGTCTCATGTCAGGACGTCCATGTAACGCTCATAACTGAATACTGATACCAAAGCTTCTCTGAGCTGTGTGACGGAGTTTTTAATCTGTGTGGGGAAATGTAGTGTGTGGATTGGAAATGAAATATAATAAAGGATGTTGAAATACACACAGGGCAGCATGTGTAGTGTTTCTGTTTATGATGTGTATTCCTGTAGACTTTAGAACTGTCTCAGTGAAGAGGACAGAAGCGCACAATGGCACAACTGAACTAAAACTAATATTTGTGTTTCACTGAGGAAATGTAAAAATGTTTAGATGATTCATAATATTTACTAATGTTTTCATCATTGACAGTTTTCATATGAATACAAAATACCTTATGAAATGTAAACTATTTTAACAAGCCAACATTTTGTTTTAAATAGTTATTTTTGAAACAAATAATGCAATGTATTTTTATTTTAAAAACAGTTGATGGATATATATATATATTTCATTGTAGATATATTTATTTCAAAGGTTTTCTTACAATATTCATATTTACAGAGTAAAACTTTTATTTTATTTCATTATGACACATTTGATTGTTTATAGACTTCCCATGGACCTTTTTTAGCCTTCCGCTCCCACGGTCCTGTCCAGGACAGATAAAGGGAAAGGGATAAATGCATCGTCATGACAACAATCTGCACTTCTTTGACATGAAACAGAAGCGGATAAGAGTCAGACTGCTTGTTACAATGTTCACTTTGCTCTCCTGCAGAGGGACAGGCCTCACTTGTTCCTGTCCTCTTCTTCCCTTCATTCCATCTCCAAACCTGTCTGCACAAATGATCCCTACAGAAACCGCAGCAGCTTCCTTCATCCTGAACATCGATGAGTTTGAAAGATGATGCAAGCTGAGAGCTGCATTTCCTTTCTCTTCATTACCATAAGGTATAAACAGGAAGTAAGCACATCTGATGTTACCACTGCATGTGATGCAGCTCAAATCTGCACTGCCACATTGGGATGTGTCTTTATTTTCATAATCAATTCATCCAATCCAGATCCAATTATTAGTTTGATTAACAGTTTATCTTAAAATCAGAATTGAAAGAAAAAATGCTCATCTCAAATTTGTAAAGCAAAAGATGTCATCTTCAAATGTCACAAAAGTATTCACTTTAATGATGTAAAACACAGACCGTCAGAAGCCAGTTCATGTTTGCTGGAAAAAATAGATAAGTTAGCACTCCTAAATATGACATTTTCTGATTCATTAGTCAATGAATTGTCTCAGCTCCTCCAGCCTCTACAGATGCTGGGGTGTCTGCCCGGGAGATGCTCATTCTAACGTCTCAGAAACTGTTGGGAAGTGATGTGTGGTTAAAGGCTAGAACACACCAAACACCTTCTGCGCTTCTTATTAGAGTAATATGAAAGATGCAGCTGTGTGTGTGTGTGTGTGTGTGTTGCTATTGTTGCACAAGAACATCAGTTAACTCTCTCTTTGGCAGCCAAGACGCACTCATAACAATTCACATCACGCACAAAAATGATAATTGAAGCCTTTAATTCAAGTACACTCAAATAAAAAAATGCAGCAGAGTAGTTGTTCCTCAGAATGTGTGTGTGTGTGTGTGTGTGTGTGTGTGTGTGTGTGTGTGTGTGTGTGTGTGTGTGTGTGTGTGTGTGTGTGTGTGTGTGTGTGTGTGTGTGTGTGTGTGTGTGTGTGTGTTCCAATAATGCCCTTCAGGAGCAGTTCAGACACATATTGTACATGTGTCGCTCTCCACTCTCCCTCATGGAGTTCTCAGTGTAACATCAGGTGTTGGTTCTGCTTCATCTCTCAAACGGACGACTGAGGAACAGGAAGTAGCTTAAATACTCCACAGCTGGTGAAGCAGGAGTTTTACTGCTGTTTTACTGCAGGGCCAAAAGTCCATGATTGTCTCCTGGATTCTTAGAACATGAATTAAAAAAACTAGAGAACTTCATGTCGGATTGAAAAAATGTGAACATTTCAAAAGAATCTCAGTTTTTATTCATCAAGTTTCAAGCAATGATGTGTTTTAACATCCCACATTCATTTCCTTATTTCTTTCTGAAAGAGGCAAACAGAAGAAACTGAATCTCAGGCTCTGGTGCAAGAAAATAAAGAAATAAGGGCAATACAAAATCTATTGTGATAGCACAAATTTAAAAAAAAAAGAATCCAACAATAAAATAATTAAATAACGTTATCTTATTGGTAACTTCATGTTTACTAACTTAATTAATGTCAACAAAATTATATTTTTATATAATCAAACTCTACAGCCGCTGGCATTCATGTGTTGGCCAAAATCCCCCCAACAGGAAGTTAGAGGGATGTTTTCCACCGTGCCAACATTTGCAAAAAGCCCAAAACATTATGTTAATTATCATCTTATAGATAAAAAGCACTATCATTTAGCATTCGAAGCACTGAAATAATCAGTTATTTAATTCCAGACTATAAAATAAAAAATCACTCGCACAAGTCCCCCCCCCCCTGCATCATCATTATTACTGCACACAGTATGGGGGTTTCATTATAGCTCTGTGACAGCCCCGGGTCACATGACAAACATTTTGGCATCCAAACTCAACCCTGGTGCCTGTGTGTGTGTGCCTGTGTGCGTGTGTGCGCACCTGCCTGCGTGTGTGCGCGTGTGTGTGTGTGCGCGCGTGTGTGTGTGTGCGCGCGTGTGTGTGTTCAGAGCTTGTCCCTGTCCAGCAGCTCCTTCAGTTCGTTCTGGATGTCCTCGGGCAGCTCCAGAGGGGGCAGGTCGTCCAGACACAGGTCCTCCTGCGCGGGCATCTCCAGCGGGGGCAGCTGGGGGATGGCGATCTCCTTCCCCTTCCCACCCGTGCTCCTCCTCACCTGCTCCCCCCCTGTCCCCAGAGCGCCCCCTGCCTGTGAGTTCCCCCAGAGCTCGGAGCACTCCACAAAGTCTGCGTCGGTGGCCTCGGAGCGCAGCCGGGCGTTCTCCGAGCGCAGCTGCTGGTTCTCGTCCATCAGGCGGGTCACCAGGCGCCGCAGGTCCTCGATGGTGGTCTGCTGCTCCTCCAGCCGGGTCTTGTCGTCTTTGGTGGTCTTAGTGCCGGGGCACGGCGTGGTCAGAGGCTGGCAGCCTCCGGTCTGCCGGGTCTGGAGCTGGTAGAGCAGGGTGTCGTACTCCCGCTCCCTGACCCCCTCTGCAGCCGGGGGGCCGGGGGGGGCGCTGGGCTGCAGCTGGCCCGGGGTCTGGGTGAGGAGGGCCGGGCTGCTGGGGGGGGGCTGCACCTGAGCGAGGCGGGACTTCGTGGCCTCTCGACGGGTCTCTCTCTTCAAGCGCTCCTGGATGAGTCGCTGCTGTTTGATATGACTGTCCCTCTGCAGCTCCATGGACAGACGAGCCTACACACACACACACACACATTGTATTGTATAGAAAGCACCTTCTATTCTTTCCCAGACCTTAAGTAGCGCTTTGATCATGTGATCATAGCCACGCCCCCCTCCCTCAGTCCATATTGACGATCCTAATAGCACAGCTCAGACTACAGCCCCCTTCAGTAACTGTGTACATTTACTCAAGTATTGTTTTTAATGATGGGACACTGACTAAATGACAGCATTACAAATGGTTAAAGTAGTTGTTATTTGTATCATTACTGATGTATCAATACGTAGGCAGAGGACCTGACTAAAGGCTGTGTTAACCAATACTTAAGTCTCATTGAGATGAATGCAGAAATGGTGGAGAGCGTACCACCTACTTGTCCCCCCCCACCCCACCCACTGTATATCTCACCTGCTTACACTCAGTTGTCTTCATGGCTTCTGTCAAAAGTTCTGGGAGAGACAGAGACAGAGGTGAGGTGACGTTGGTCTTTGGAAACAATGACAGTCAGAAATGCTCTTTGATTTGAAGTAAGAGTGAGAAGCAAGAGTGATGAGAAATTCACGTCTCATTTTTGCAAGAGTTGAAACTTGAGTAAAGAATTCACAGGACAAGGTCTAAATGTATGTGTACAAACCATAGACTGTCTATGGCATGACCATGCAGTCACTACTTTATTTATGCCACATGACGTTACTTTGACGGAGCAGCTACAACGGTATCCTAGCCCGGATTGATCCGTTTTAGATTATTAGCTACTACAAAATCAATTATTAAATACATTTTGACATATATTAAAGGTCACCTATCATGCAATTTGTAGGCTATAGCATAGGTCTCAGATATATACAAATGTATAAAAAACATGTCTATGAAGTGTTTTGCTCAAAATACCAAACAGATCACCCATTCTAGCCATGCCTCATATCCCTCTATTTCACTTCCTGTTACTCAAGTGCTGATTCGGGGTATATAAGCAGAGCTTATGCCTGCTCATGCGGGACCCGGCAGATACTTTCTAAAATAAATGCTGTGGGGATGAAACCCCAAAACCACATCAAGGATTATCTCTGAAACATTATGGAGCTCAAAGGCTTTCTCTCTCTCAGGTTTACCACAAAGTGAGTTCTTTTTTATATCTTGCTTCTTTACACATGATCTCTCCAGTACAGGTTAGCTCTGAGTGTTAGCGATGCTTGCTAATGTAAACAAAGACCATATTACATCCAAAACACGTCAGGCATTGATTCTGATAGCAAGTTTCCGATAGGGCTGTGGGTCCACCAGGAGAGGGTCCACCATCCGATATGACGTAATACATATATATATATGGAGTACTTTTACTTTTGGTACTTGAAGTATATTTTGATGCCAATCATGTTGTACAGTGTTCCCCCTAGGTTTACTGCCTTGGCAGGGTGCTGCTCGGGTACCCCCCCAACGCCAAGACAATGGTAGGGGAAACACTGTTGTATTTTTACTTAAGGGTCAGTGTGGTGTTAGTGTTACCTGCTGCTTTCTCATGGCAGGAGATGGCCTCTTCATACTTCCCAGCCACCAGCAGACGGTCTGCCTTCCTGCACTGCTGATGAGCCTGAGGAGAAACACAAGAGAACAGGGGGGGGGGCACAGAGACAAGGCACGGGCAGTGAGCAGCAGTCTAAAAAGGGATAAAGTGTAGGAGATGTTCTTATTCAAATTAACCCAATTCAAGTTTTAGACGGATACAACAGAAGCTGAAACGATATGAAAATAAGCTCTTTTATTTATATTTATTTAGTCATTATTCCGGCAATAATTAGCACTAGCGTCTGGAGTGTGAAGATTTGCTGCTTTCTTTTTCATATCAGACGATAAAATGAATATATGTTGACTTCTGTTGAGACAAGACAAGCGGTTTGACTGTGATCTAGGGCTCTGGGACAGCAATGATGTTTCAATGAATAGAGAACAAAATCCCTGAATAAAAACCTAAATAAGTTAGAAATAGTTGGTATATTTTAAATAATAAATGTGATTGCTTTGTTATTATAGTATTTATTTGACTACATACTGATCATGAGAATCCCTAATTACATATAGACATTTCAAAGGATAGATTGACAAATGACAGGTAAGTAAATGAGTGGAGAGACATTATAAATGCAAAAGCCTCCAGAATTGTGAATTAGTTGATCTAGTTAAGCATTTCACATCAGTTCCAGCTTTGTGTATATACATGTAGTATGCCCAGTTGATCTCCATTTAGGTTCAAAATGGAAAGATAAAAAATGTCACTTTGAAAGAATAACTCAGAGCTCTCTCCACCTCCCACCTCTCTCATGTTTTAATAATATTAGAGTCTCAGAGTGGAGCCTCCCTGTTTCCCTCCACCCAGCTACACCTGGAAGGTTTCTCAATTCACTCATTCCCCCTCCTCGACTCCTCGACCCTCCGGTAGTGACCCGGAAATGGATTTCAGCGCGCCATGTTGAAGGACATCTCATTTCTCTAAATGCACACCGAGGACCGAGCATCAAGCGTCGAGGAGGCTCTCTGGAGGAGCTATAACCGAGGAGACACTGATGGGTCCTCCACGGCTCCTTCGTCGATGCATTTCTGGCAACAGTGATGTTTCAAAGAGTCGAGACGCACGGCCGGACTGATCTCAGCCAATGAAAGCTCTGCATGCATCCCCTGGATATTATTTTATTAACTGCTTTCATCGCGACGCAATGTTTACGCTGAGAACAGCTGTGAGGTCCGTGCAGAAAGCAGAGCAGTGTGTATAATATATATCACTCAGTATAACAGGCCTACTCTCTTTATTTGCTTTAGTTTAGTAGATATCTACAAACAAAGAGTCCATATTTTTCTAAAACCATTTAGTGCTTCACAAAATAAAATACACAACGGCTGCCTGTTGTACAGTGTGTGTGTGTGTGTGTGTGTGTGTGTGTGTGTGTGTGTGTGTGTGTGTGTGTGTGTGTGTGTGTGTGTGTGTGCGTGCGTGCGTGCGTGCGTGCGTGCGTGCGTGCGTGCGTGTGTGTGTATGTGTGTGTGTGTGTGCGTGTGTGTGTGTGGCGGACAGACAGGTCTCAGTTGGTTTGGTGTCCTCTGCTTACTTTTATTACTTGTAAATAAAACTTTTGGCCCGTAATTTCATTTCCTCATTGTAGCGACCAGAGAGGGCGGGGGGGGGGATATATCCAGTCTCTGATAGTGTTACGTTATTATGCTGCGAGTGCTCTCATACTTGTTTGATTCTGAAATTGTATATATTTATATAAATATATAGCCTATATGTGTGTGTATATATGTCCGCATCTGTAGCCTGTTATTGTCTCATTATACGAGAAGCCCCTCAATGCAGTGCGCAATGCCTCAATGAGCTCAATGTGGGCAGTTCTCTTCCCGTTTTTATTATACATCCATGTTCTCTTCCCTCCCCCCCCATCCTAACCACTCCCTACCTTTTTACCTAATCCTAATCTTCCTTCCTCCCTCCCTCCCGAACATAAACCCAAAAACCTCTCCTACCCCTTAGTATTATTTTTGCCACTTCTAATCTGTTCTCCTTTAAACTCTCTCTTTTTCTCCATTTCCTTTTTGAAACCCATCTTTTCCTCCCCTCCCTTCTGATGTAGTTGTGTTCATAACATAGACTGTATATATAAAGGTTCATAACCATGCCACATTACCCTAATAAGGTAAAAAACTAACAGCATTGGTTTTATTGAACTAACTAGATATGAAAAACATGTGCCCGTGCATCTCCCCTGCCACCACAAGATGGGGACAGGTGACCTCTATTTTCGTACCTAACCCCTAACCCTAAATGTACGATGAACTAACTTGATTTATATATATATTAATAATATAAGATATAATATGTTACTTTTGTGACTGGGTAAGTACACAACACGGGAGTCGGGACGTCACGTGCCTCAAAGGTTGAGCTCCGCCCACGTTGAGGCATTGCGCACTGCATTGAAGGGTACTACCATTATACCGCACTGTGAATGAATCAAAGTAAATATATAAGTCGTCATGAACACATCTGTCCATCAGACAGAGGGCTGCTGTGCCTCCTGTCATCATTAATGGACGTCTCTTTAAAATGACCGCTCAGAGGAGAGGAGTTCTCATTTCTCTAACCGCCTGCTGCTTCCCTTCCTCTCTCCTCGGTTCCCCTCCTCGACTCCTCCGCTCGCATCTCCTGTGGGCGGGACTAAGTCTTGAGGATAGGAGTCGAGGAGGGGAAATTAGAGAATTGAGAAACCTTCCTGCTCATCCTTCAGGAGGGCTGCATGGGGTGGAGCCTATGACACTGTTTAAGAGATATTTCCTCAAAGGCTGCTAACAATCTGGATTAAATAGATATGTTTGGGGATATCTTTAAGCCATTTAAAAACAGGTTTTCCAGGTTGGGACTTGTTTTAAAACACATTTCCTGCTAGGGCTATCATTTGGATTAGGGGACAGGGCTCGCTTAGACGTTTTAATCTTTTTTTTTTATCATTCAGAGAAATAATAATTGATATCCAGATGGTTAAGTGTTTAAGGATTATGGAAAAAGCCTACCTGAAGTGTGATTGGCTGGGATATGTTTTTCTGAAAAACAAAATAGAAAAAAGGGATGCTCAGTTCTGGGATTTGAGTTTTACGACAAAACATGAGACAGAAACTGGGGCTATTCTCCATTCTCGTCAATATGTTAATATAATTTGAGATAATTTGTCCAAGCCTTATAAAATCTATTACAATGAGCACTGACGATGACCTGGAGGATCATGATCAATTAACACCTTCCTGACATACTTTATATTGTTTTCTTCCTCCAGCTCTGTATACGTTTTCACTTTTAAACTGTCCTTATCCTAATGCTGATGATTACAGTACTGTATACTAAATCTGATCAGGGCAGGGACATGACTTACAAAATGTCCCAAATTGGGATCAATAAAGTACTTATCTATCTATCTAGTATCTATCCATCTACTTGAACCCTTAAATGGTTTCTGTATCCTGGGGGATACACTCATTTGACAGGCAGTGTCCATGAGAAATAACAGTGTAACATGGGTATAATATTGGTGTGATACGGTTATAATAATGGTGTAACATGTGTGTATTAGGGGTGTTAGGTGTGTTAATATAGGTGTATGTTTTAATGTGTAATGTGCTTGTATTAACAGTTCAATATAGGTGAATTATGGGTGTAGTAACAGTGTAATATGTGTGTAATAACATTGTAACTATGGTGTAATATTGGTGTTACATGGGTGTAATGTGTGTCAAGTATCAGTGTAATATAGGAGTTCTAATAGTGTAACATGATACAATAAGGTTGTAATACAGGTGTACAAATGTGTAACATGGATGTACTAATAGTGTAATAGTTGTGTATTAATTTCGACTATGAGTGTAATAACAGTGTTTTAAGGGTGTAATGTAGAAGATGGAAAGCACACATTCTCTAAGGTATTTGGATGTGAGGCCTTATTTAAGGGTTGAATAAATGTAAATGCCACTGTGCTTTATTAACAACATCGAGACGTCCCGTTATAGAAATTGAATAATACTGAGGTGGAATTGTATTTAATTGCTAATGTGATTACGTTTTGGGACGGTGTAACCATAACACGTAACGTTATGAATAACACGCTAACATTAGGCTATAAACATGACATTAGTCACAACAACACAGTAAACTCGGACAGTGTCAGGTGTTGTTTGGAGAACTAAAATGCCACATGTCTCTCCAGGAACAAGGCAAACAGAGCGGTTAGCCGTTAGCTTTAGCAGCTAGCTGTTGTAGCTGCAGTCTACAGTAACGTTATCCCGTTATTGCAACATCCACACCGACACTCACCAGGTTGAGCGGGCTGTCCTCGACCTCCATGGAATGGCTTCTCGGTGGTTTACACTACATGAAAGGTGTCTCTGTCCCTCGCTGACTGTCATTCGCGATACGATAAAAAAAGCCTTGGAAACATAATTACAATAATATTAACTGTCAGGGAAGCACAATCGCCTCCACAGCTAAAGCTGCGTCAACACGTCGTGACGTCACATCCGTTCTACAGCAGGTTGTGGTCGGATGTTTTGCTTCTTCTTCTTCTTCTCTCAGTTTTTGGCAGATTGCAAACAACTTTAAAGGTGCATACCGCCACCTACTGTACATGAGTGTGAATCATCATATCATTCCATCTCTTAACTCATGGACGTATATATCTATGATCTAATCAAAAAATAAATAAATCAACAAAAAACATAAAATAAATAAAACAAAATAAAATAAAAATCTATGATCTTTCCTGACCTAATGTTAAATTATTTTTCCTACCCCAGTTTCACTCAGAAAGGTAAACAGTGTGACCTCTTCCACCCACTGTAATCCTATTACTACTGCCAGCATTTCTGCTGTATACACTGATAATTGATCAGACGCTCTTTTTGAGATCGATATTTTAAAGTCTGGGATGTATATACCAACTCCAACACACTCTTCCTTGTTCTTAGAACCATCTGTGTAAATGTTGAGGTAATTGTAGTACTTTTCGTTCAGGTACATACTTGTTTTAATTCCCACTTCATTTATTTGCCACTCTTTTTTCCTTTCTATGATATTCACATCTATGTTAGCTTCTGGGAAAAGCCATGGGGGAACACTACTAAATGGGGTTGCTTTGGCAAACGTGATGGTCTCCACTCCATATGCCCTCGTTCTCTCCTTACTCGTCCAGCCAAACCCACGCCCCTGGAATTTTGCATATTCCCAGCAATCCTGTAATATTCTGTTTGTGATATTTTCTTCTCCACTTCCTTGTAGCCTGACCCAGTATGACAGAGCAAGTTTCTCTCTTCTGATCTCCAGAGGTGTCTCTCCTGCTTCTATCAGAACTGCATTGATAGGGGATGACTTTATCGCTCCAATACACAGCCACAATGCTTTATATTGTATTCTATCAATTTTAAAAAGTGATGTTTTTGCTGCTGCTCCATACACTATACAACCATAATCTATTGTGGACCTCATAATTGATCTGTAAATGTCTATTAATGCTTGTTTGTCTGCGCCCCAGTTGCATCTAGCTACAGCTCGCAATACATTTAATACTTTTTAGCCTTTTGTTTCCACTTGATTAATATGCATTTTCCATGTATATTTGCTATCAAACCACAGTCCTAGGTATTTGAACTCATTCACCTTTGTCATTGGACGATCATATAGTGTTAGCTGTTGGCCATCAATCTTGCGTTTATTTGTGAATACCATGTAGCATGACTTGCTTTCTGACATTTTGAATCCCCAGTTATATGACCACCTCTCCACTTTTTTAATCGCTCTAGCTATATTCTCCATTACGTATGGGGCATTTCTTCCCCTCATCCAAATAGCCCCATCATCTGCGTATAGAGCCGATTGGATGCATGTGTCTAAGCATGTAAATATATCATTAATCATGATGTTAAATGATATTGGACTGACTGCACTCCCTTGGGGAATACCATTTTCTATTTCAAAATAATTGGAAATATCTGCTCCAACCTTTACTATAAATGTCCTGTCCAATACCCATTCTACTCAATTTGATCAGTAACCCATCCCTCCACATACAGTCATACGCCTTTTCAATGTCAAAGTACACTATTGCCATTATCTCTTTCATTTTCAATGTTTTTTCCACATCATTACTCACTCTTACAAAAGCATCTATTGTGGACCGCCCTTTACGAAATCCGCTCTGAAAACTACTCAGCAGCCCTTTCTGTTCCAGTACATGTGAGAGCCTATGAACAATGATCTTTTCCATCTATTTACATAGGTGTGATGTAAGAGCTATTGGTCTGTAGTTACTAGGGTTAGCTGTATCTTTCCCTGGCTTATTGAATGGTAGCACGACTGCTGTTTTCCACAAACTTGGCATATCTCCTTCTCTCCAGATTGTATTGAAAAGACTCAGCACCATTGTCATAGTTTCCATAGGTAACTGTCTAAACATAGCATAGCATAGCTGGTCTTGTCCTGGGGCTGTATATCCTGTACCTTGTAAGGCTATTTTGAGTTCTGACATTGTAAATTCCAGAGCTGACCTATTATCCTGTCTCTTCTCCTTCACGTTTTCATTCTCTGCTAGTAACTGCTGTTTTTGCTGCCTATGAATATCACTGAGATGTTCCCCACTATGTACTGCTGCAAGTGTCCTTCCTAACATATCTGCCTTCTCTTTATCTGCACTGTAAAACCTGACAAGTTAATAGAACTCAAACGTTTCTTTGAAACTGATTACATTGAAGTTTTTGAGTAATACTTATATCTTAACTGAAATGTTTTAAGTTAAAGTATAATCTTATCAATTGAGTTCTATTTAGTAGTAATTTTCAAGGGACACAAACATATTGTTTTTTAAGTTAAAGAAACATTATATATTAAGTTTCTTTTAACTAATCATTTGTGTTAACACTGTACATATAAAGATCAAGTATTGTTGACTTAAAAATGTTCATATCTTTTCAACTAGCTATTTTGTTAGCACAGTACATATGAAAATCAAATATTTAACTTGAATATTTTTATTATCTCTAAATAAAAAACTTTTCGCTGTATAAAACGCGATATGAATTAAAAACGTCAATTGATTAGTACTCAAAACTGACTGAATGTAGAGTACTTAAAACATTTTTTGAAACCGATTACATAAATATTTTCAGATAACTGTAACTCAAAATCCCTAAGTTAACATTGAGTAAACATTCAAAAGCACTTTAACACTGACAATTTAAATGCAAATCACTGTTTTATTAAGTGACAATATACAAAACATTATATATATATATATATATATATATATATATATATATATATATATATACATACACACACATTATAGCAAATAACTCTTTTAAATAAAAAAAATACCTTAAAAACAGTGCTAGGGCCTTGAGAAATATCTGTGTGTATTTTAACCATCACTTATGAGTGAACACAATTTTCAGGAACAGTTCTGCGTATTAATTTAACACATGGACCATAAAGACCCAATACATATAAAAGTATAAAACAACATCTACAAACAGTCCTTCAACTTGATGCTGAACAGTAACAAATCTGTAACAAATCTGTCAATGCAATACAGAACACGGATGTAAAGCAGCAGGATGTAAACAGAGGAGAACAGTGTGTGTGTGTGTGTGATTGTTAAAGTGCAACTTTGTTGGTAGGATTACACTGCCAAAAGCTCATTTTTCAGGCTCAACACCCTGGGCTTCAAATTCTTCAAGTTCCCCTCATCCAGGCCCATCAACACTTTCTGGGTGAAGTCGAAAGTGTTGGCCAAGTCTTTTGGGTAGCTCAGATGCAGGGCAAAGGTCAGTGCAAAAGGCAGGATGAATGCGTCAGCCAGTGTGGGGAGTTCGATAACTCTGTTACCCTCAATGACAACAGCGATCCTCTCTGGGCAGAAGAGCGTGGCATCTGTTGACCTGGCACTGATCATGAGAAGTCCGACCGCGATGTCCTCTATGTCTGGATCATCAGACTGCTCCACCTGATGACAAGAACAGATAAACGTTACCCATTACCCCAAATTGCCTTGGCTATCTCAGAAATCTGTTTTCTAAAAAATACATCAGTGACATATCACATCAAATAACCTAATGTTTTGTGCATAATGTGGCTTTAACCCTTTAACTGCCAGACCAAGAAAAAAGCTATGGAAAAATTATTTGTTTGCATTTTTTTTATCAAATGGGCCACAAATAATTTTATTTTTTTTGACTGACCCCACAGTTTTGTTTTTATGAGTCTCTACCAATTGGTCGAGCTGGCCTTTTATGGTAAAAGTGCATTTTCAAGAATCATCATATACAGTACAGTATTTGTACGCATCAAACTCAAATAAAACACAAACTCAAATACATTTGTTTCTTTTATGGAAAATGAGCAATATATACAACCAGATATATTCATAAAAGATAATCAATTATAATTGTAAAAACCATAGACTGTTTAAACATACCGTCAGTTTAAAAGCTGTTTTATTCTGAAAAAAAACGGAAGCTCTCGCAAAATCTCAATGCCAAGCTTGTATTCTGAAAATCCTTCATCTCCGGTTAGCATTTAGCATGTGGCTAATATTACGTTTTCTAGAAATGTGAATGTAAAGCGAAAATGACACGAAGTGTTGCACACCAAAACCTACTGACTTTAACACTACATCTATAGACGTCGAGATATTATTATTGCTGAATATTAAATGAAGGTACAGTTTATTTTAATAGAGTGGCGAAGTCACGCCCATCTACTTCCGCCCCATGGGACCTTATTTCGGAAAAATAATGTATTGAAGTCAATGGAGAGAGAAAACTTATCTGAAGATCCCGTTTGAATTGTGCCATGAATTACACATATGATGTTTGTCAATCTTAAAAAATCATTTCCATGTCAAAAAAGTCACAGTTTGTCGTAAAACTGTTGAAATATAAGACTATGAAAAATACGCAACTAGAAAGACTACAAATCCCAGAGTCGCGTAAGTGATGTCACAATTGTTTTCCTTCACTAGCTAAGATCAGCGCCATATAGATATAATCTATCTATATGGCGCGGCTAAGATAAGATAACTTTAACAAGATGCCTGTGTGCTTAGTACCAGGTTGTTATCATACCAGCAATGGGTCTTGCTCATTATTTCGCTTCCCGTCTGATGAAAGGACTAGGAGTGTCTGGATCAAGCTAGCTAGTAGCTAGCACGTTAGTTAGCATTACAGCAGTGTCATTTTTATTAGCCTTAACATGAAGTAACATGAAGTAACCCAACATGTTAAACAGTAACAGTAGTAGTCATATTTCGTGAACCCTTTGAATAGTACTGTCACCGGTGTGATCATTCTATAATACACAATTTAAGCCCGGGGGAGAAATGCTAACGCTAACGCTAGCGATCTTCTCTACTTCATGCTATCTGCACAAATGGTTGACATTAAACATTAAAACGACCAGGCAGTTCAGAGAGAATCAAAGGAAGGCAGGCAGGCAGCTTTGCATGACATTCTTCAGGACGTGTTTCATT